AGTGGTTTTTAAAACTTTTGTCTGTCTTTTAAATAAAACTAATTTTACGGATTTTATCGCGTATATTAACTTATTTATATCGCGTATTATAACTTTTTGTCTGTCTTTCTGTGTATTATCGATTCACACAAAAACTACTGGACCGATTTCCATTAAGTTTTATATGTAAGTAGTTAGTAAACCGGGGCAACTTATAGGCTACTTTTTGTCCAATTACGGAACTTAAATGGGAAGGTTAAATATTTTTCTTCCTTTGGATGTTAATTTTCTATTATATATGTTAGTTTATAGGCGGGATGACGGATGTTTTTTCAAATAAATATCATATTTGTAAATAAAGTTTCAAATTAGTTTTAACATTTGCATATTGTAGATTTCCAATAATTACTACGTTTAGCAAAATGGCTAACAATATTGTTATGTACAACACGTGTGTTTTGTGTGTACAGTATTCCAGTACTGTGTACACATAACTGAGATTAGCAGAGAAGCTCTTTAGTTGAATATCTTGGGTGTCTGTCGGCATAGGATTCATCTTACCAGCTTAATATGTTATCATGTTATCTGATGTAAATAATTGGAAATTAAGTGTGTGATTTTATCTCTATTTGATGGAATAGTTCGTGGCATCGTTGGGTTTCTAATTACTAGGTAGATATGGTCAAGAATCGTACAAAAGCTTTGTTTCAGTTTTTTTTTAACAAATACGAGAGCCGTGTAGTTCGCCGTGAGATTTCATCGTGACAAGGGAGCAAAATATATACGAGTCCTTTGAGGACAAATGAATCTGTTATGGAAATTTTACGTGCTGACTTACCACTTATCCGGTGAAGAATAACTTCGTGGGCAAACCTAAATTTCTGAGTAGTAGTTGAAGGATTGCGGCATACTCTTTTCTGCCTACAAACACTATATATAGGTAATTAGGAGCCCTGTGCACAGTAGTGAGACGTATGGAAGCTGCTACTTTTATACCTTTAATGAGACTTTTAAATTAGTTTGTTGTTTAAGATTTTTGTATTTTTGAGTTTCCATATTATCAGACGAATTAAGATTTATGTGACAAAGAGTTTTATGTCTTGGTTTCATAGCTCACATGAGATATGTAAATGAACAGGTTGTTGCGAAAAAATACTTTAAATATCAAATATAGCAGATTTTACTTAAACAAAGGTTTATTTTATTTTACTCGTCAAAGGCGGTAATCAAACTGATCCAAACGTAAATTTTATAGTACATAAGCATTGTTATATATTTTTACATGTATGTTATTTGCAATTTGAAGTGTCGATTTACCACATTCTCGGCGCTGAAAGAAAACCTACATATCTGAGAAGTTGAGGTGATCGCGCATTGCCACTTTTTTTGGCAAAATCTCTGTGGCCTGTAGGCCCACTAGCTATTATTTATTCTGTGCCAGTAGTACGTACATATTATGTAGGTTGCTACTTTTTAGTTTTAGTGACGCAATTCTGCTGTTTTTATTTCATTCATATTTTCGGAGATGTTACTTTTTTGTTTTCACACTTGTAGTGTTATGCTACTCACGTATCATTTTACATTATTTTAAATTCATTTTTCCATTCTGTTTCGATTTTCTGCATTCACCTCAAAACTGGATATTTTACATCACCTTTATTTCCATAGGATCCTGTAACGATTTTAAACCATAAGAACACAATAACAAATCATTTCTACTTCGTATTTTCACATTATCAGCACTTTTAAATTGGTGTCAATGGAGTCTACCTTTTTTCGATCTTTTAGCTAGTTTTCCGTAACTCTATAATCTTGGGCTTTGTGTGGACAGCTGCGCTACCTTTTTTCCTATATCAATAATATCTCATTTTCCACTTAAATCTTACCGTTTTCTTATTATAAACCAAAAACAAAAATTTGACATATTTTGTCTTTCTTATTTATATCGTTTCCATGGAAATTATATTCAAATTTGCTACCGACCTGTTATTCCTATTTCGATAATTACACATAAATCCTCTTTTCTCTTGACCATTTACAAAAAATTTGCGTATAATTTAAATAATTTTTCCGTTCTCTCTAGAAAGGTATAAAAGCCGAACAATCGGTGAAGAAAGGCAGTCTCGCTTCAGTTCGCGAATTGGAAGTATCTCCTAAAGGCCTTATCCCGGGGCCGCACTGCCCCGGGATCCTGCAAGCCTCCATTTACAAGTGAAGTCTTCGGCGAAGCCTTCTTCAAACTCGGGCCGCGCCACTCCGGTATCCTACAAGCCTCCATCTACCTCGGAAGTCGCTTCGAGTCTACTACAAGCGCGGGGGCCACACTACTCCGGGCACTACTACTACTTACTCCAGGCGCCGAGTGCACCTACCGCCGGCGCTACCTTTGGGCGCTGCAACTGCTGGCTCTAAGCGTTGCGCGCCCCTTCTCCAGGCGCTACGTGCGCCGGCTCCGGACGCTGCGTGAACTGGCTCCAGGCGCTGCGCGCCGTCGCTGCTAAGAAACCTACTTCTACAAGCGCAAACGGCGTGTGCTGGCTTCAGGCGCTGCGTGCCGTCGCTGCTAAGAAACCTACTTCTACAAACGCAACGTGTGTCGCTTCGACTTTTAGGCCCCACTTCAACGCTATATTCCCCTATTCTCTCACCTTTATTTTTTTTTATAATCTAATTGTATTCTCACTTCATTCATCATCATCCTCATTCCATTTTTTTATAAAATTGTAAATACCTTTTATAAATTTAAATATATTGTTTTCTGGCTCTACTTTTGTTGTTTTGTTGTACTTAGGTTAGGTTCTATTTTTTTATTTTTTTTTTATTGTCGCTTCACGACACACTACCGTATATATTAACGGCAGTAAAGACTCGTAGGAATAGAACTCATCATCGTTATCATTACAACCTATCAAAAGTCCACTGAACTGAACATAGGTCTCCCCCATAAATTGTCAAATAGGCTGGATATTTAGTATAGTTGCCACGGTTGGCAGGCGGGTTGGCAACCGCAGCCTTTATTATATTGAACTGTTGTCAAGAAGTTGATGTTGTCCATCTCCTGTTTGTTTTCTTCTATCGCCTCTTAGGACACACGGAACGATATGAGGTGGCGGATTCTCTTTCGGCGCCACAACAAGGAGAACATTTTTCTGCTTCCGATCATGAGTGTAGTTCTACACACGTTCACAGCGAATAGAACTTTATTTGCAATAAAAGTAATCTTAAGATTTTACCGTGTTTAATTTTAACTTTTTTAATGTTTTTTTCCTGACGTTTCGGGCACTATAAAGAACCGAACCTATGAAGACGGGGGGGGGGGGGACTAAGTTGTTTCACGTCCTGATGTCATAGTTTATTGGTCCGATCTACGCAGGACCAACTTACAGTATCTTGAAGTCTTGCAGCAGTATGCTTGGGTTTGAAGTTAGGATGTTTTTAATTTCAATAGCCTCGGGAATAATCCTTAGTAGGAGTCGGTGTTCTATTGCGAGGATTTGTTGTCTATCAGATCTGATGTAATGGTTGGGACGATACTGAACATGTTGACATACTTCAGACTTTTCGGAGAGTCGGTGCTTCACATCAGCAATATGTTCTTTTACGCAAATTTGTATAGAACTTTTTTCCAAAGATTTGTTTTGTACAACTCGCTTACATAAAAGTTTAAATGTAACTTGATAAATCGACATAGACACAGACGCCGAAGTGACTTTAAAAGTGATCGAATTTTGCTAAATTTGGCGTGGAATAGTATTTAATGATGTTTCTAAATTGAAGATTGCGACCGCCATCATACGGCCAATATTGCTACATAATAATAATATTATATTCTTATTTATCATAAACAATATGATGAGCTTTGTAAGGTTTTTATTATAGACTAGGGCTGAAAACAACAGTAGCCTTCTATGTTTATAGTTGACCACTTTTGTCCACCTGATTATATATGTTGCGCTTATATGGTGGCCCGTTCTTTTATGGTAGAAAATAAATTCTAGAAAATGTCATTTAAATTTAGTTAATACAAAAATCTCATCAGACTAAGTCCCTTGCAAGACTTTCTAGCAGGCATACAGTTTTACAAGCCTTGCCTATAATTTGCCTTTGTAAGCACATAGCAGATATTATCATATTTTACATTACCAATCTGTGAGATTTGCGTCTGGTTTTTTTGGACGCTTTTCTGTCATCGAATCGTTAGCCCATCAGTCCCTTATTCTTCTGTGTCGCACAACAGTGTATGCCGTATATAAGCAATAGTATATTGAATATGACCAAGAATATGACTAAAACAAAACGTATGTTTGTACGGTTTTCACATTTTAAAATTAAAGAAAACCGGGAATATCACGTTTCTAGTAGTATTTAATTTTGGAGGATGTTCCTTTTCTAAAAGAAGCCTGGTTGTTCTATGAAAAGAAACCTAAGAATTTTAAAGTGACCGGCTTCTAAGTGAACACTGATGTCTGTTTAGCTGTTTATTTTTTAGATTTTTTAAAAGTTTTAACATGGACGAAAGATTTTTTATTTTATTTCTGAGAACGTATTAAGAATAAACCTTTACATCAAATGTTAGGCAGTCATGTTGTAAAATGATGTTTTAGTTTTGACGATCCCTCAGGCGCAACCTTTTTTTATAAAAGCTTAAATCCGTGATTAAGCCATTCAGAATTTCATTCAAGTCCGTGGAGCCGTTTCAGTGTGAAGATAGTAGCAAAGATACGCACTCAATCACAAACTCTCGCATTTAAAATATTAGTGTGAAGTGTGGTAATGTGATGTGATTTCTAATGAAATTCTAAAGTGTTATAAAGTATTATTTACTATATTAATTTATTAACAATCGCACACCAGCATATTTACAAAATTGCACAAAGTGATTCCGCATAAATCCTAATCGTAGTTAACATTAAATAAATTAGTTTGTATTAAGTTACATACTTCTTTTGGTCTACTTTCCTACTTTACTTCAAACGGACACTCCACATAGGAGATGGATTTGAAAATAGTGCAAACGTCTATTAGACCAAAGCTCTAAAAAGTCGTCTGAAGAACAGTTTAGCTCTATTTTCTGTCTCTACTTCGTCTTTTAAGTCCTCGACATTTTCTTCATCTTCATCTTCATTAACTTCTTGCTCTGTATCTTGTTTTTCATCGTTATCAGAATCCTCTTCTTCGCTACTGCTACTACTAGATTCTTCGCTGGTTTCTTCTTCAGTGTTCTTTTCATCATTATCTTGTTTGAAAATAAAGCGACGGAACCATCTTATATTTTGGATATTTTCATCTGCATCAATTTCTACCATTTCCTCCTGAGATAAATCTTCTGAGTTTCCCGTTTCTTCATCTTCATCCTCTTCTTTATCATCTTTCTCATTACCATCTTCCTCGTCGTCATTTTCTTCTTCATTTTGTCTTAACTGTGAATTTTGTTTTCTTTTTCTTAGTTCACCGTTTTCATCTTCGTTTCCGTCTTCATTTTCTTCTTCAATATCGTTTTCATCATTATCGTCTTTATTCTCCATCTCATCTTCGTCGGCGTCGTTTTTGTCATCATCACCGTCTTCATTTTGTCGGTTAATAGATCTGCGTGATCGTCTTACTTGACTTTGTTTTAATATATTTTCTAATTCATTATGATGATGATGGTCACCGTCATCGTCATCATCGTCATCATCATCATCATCATCACGATCTAATTCTTTATTTTCTTCATGTTCTACTTGTCTTAATTTATCTTCTTCGTCAACTATTTCTTCACTTTTATTTTCGTTTTGTTCGCTTTCATCCATTTCATCTTCTTCCTCATTCATCAGTTTATCTTCATCGTCCACCTTTTCGTCTCCATTATTTTCGTGTTTTATTATTTCTCTTCTTTCTTCCTCCATCATTTTAACCACTCCTTCTTTTTGCATTTCACTCAGCTTTTTATTATGATAGTTTCCAGGAGAAATATATAAATGCGGGTAAAAACCATGGGATAGTTGTGGAGAGCGATATTCATACTTTTCAGGTTCTTCAAGTTCTTGGGCTTCTTCCGAATCACTTACTTCCTGGAGTTTGAATAGTCTGTAAGCTCTTATAAACTTCGTGAGTTCGGCATCTTGAATCACGTTAAAATCTTCTCCTGATCCCTCTTCATCATTATCTTGCAGTGCTTCGAGATCTTCGTTTTCTAAATCATGCTCATTATTATGGTCACTATTGTTTTCATTGCCGTGGTCATTATCGTTTTCGTGAGTTTGTCCAAAATTATTGCGGACTTCGTCTTCGTCTTCGTCTCCAGATTCAATGTTTCCTTCAGAAGTATCTTCTTCTTCTTCTTCTCCTTCTTCTTCCAGTGATTCTGTTGTCGCTTCAAGGTCTTCAGGCAACGGTTCCAGTTCCGGCTCATTTTCTGATTCAGGTTCGGATTCAGATTCTGGGTCCTGCTCTGGTGCAGCTTCAGTTTCCGTTTCTGTTTCGAGTTCAGGCTCTGGTTCAGACTCGTTGTCAGTGCGGCAGTTGGCTGGAGGCTCTGATCGGTCACAAACCTGTAATATATTTTATCATTCATTTACCAACCATGTTAAGTATTCAGTGAAAAGTGAATAAATTTTAATAAAAATAAAATTCAAAATAGTGCATGTTTGTAAATAAAGTATGCATTGTACATTCCTGATTTACGATATTTGAAGCAATAGAGGAAAGAGTTAAAATAATATTGACTTTTACCTGTTCCTCTTCATTGAACCAGGTGTCGGTGGGACATTGCATGAGGTATGATCGACCAGCATAGCATTGGTAGTATTCATGACAGCTGTCGACCCTGGCGATTCGCAGGAAGTTCTCCTGGCCGATGCAGAGAGTCTCCGGATTTTGTCTCAATTTGATTGAGATGGCGGAGGTGGCACTCAGCGCCGCCGCACAACACAGCACCCAAAATGCCGCTGGGAACAATAAGTTTAAAGTTTAATCTATATTTAACTCGGAAGTTTATTTTATTCGTTGTTCTTATGACATAATAAGAAATAGGAACGATAGCTGTAGAAAATGTGTTACAAAATTTTGCAAATATTATTATGTAACCACATAAAATGTTCTCACTTAAAATCTTTTTATCATTCTTAAAATAATCTAATTTAATAAAAAAGAACCCGTTTGACTATTAGTTTCTGAAAGTTCTAAATATTACGTACCTAATCATTATTTTTGTAGTACTGCCTATTTAAAATTATGTTTTGAACACATTTTGCATAATCATACACGTGATTTAATTATTTAGTTACGTCACTCTATTATACTCATGTTAATAATTTTATATTTTTAATAAAATTAGTGTGATATTATTATAAAAGAATTATGAAAGGTACTCACTGTTCATGTTGACCGCTACAACCGCCGTGTCACTGTTGCGATCTGATAGAAAAATAAGACAACGGATCGCAACTCCTCAATTTTATCGAGGTCACGGTATCTCAGGAGCCGCCGATAACGTCTTACGATTGCGAGATACAGCCTCAATGGCGATATTGTCCATCAATCTTTTATCAATACTTTAGGTTTTAACCTACGTTCTTAGAACTGTCGATTTTATTAATGCGACTTACTCACTATTAAATAGTCGCATAAAATTATAACACTACGGATCTTAGATAAAGCTATAATATCCCAGCGCAACTTGTTCCAGATCCAGTATCTTCTCGTCGGTCTTCAGGATGCGTGCATTTAATGTTGCCTAATCGAGTTATCAGGTTATACGTGGTAGAATCTCGCTGCAGCCATATTATGCTTCTAGCACAAATGGAGTAGCTCGACCGGGAAGGGAGCACGCTCTCACAGTAATACCAGTGTAAAATAGTAGCTTTATACTGCTGTGTTTTGTATGGTGAGTGAAGAGAACTAGATACCCTTCTTACTGGAAAAGACGCATTCCATCTTAGTCCACTGGAGTGATAACGCGTCTGCATTTTGATTATTATCGATCGAGAATAAATGTACCTAGATGTGTATGGGTCACAGAAATCACTTAACGAACGTCAGGTGGACTGTGTGCTTCTTTTGTTACCCTTATTAATAAACAAACACGCCATTCTAAGCTCGCCACGGTAACCAGAAGTATCAGAGTCGCTGGATCGTCTTCTTGTCACTACTAATGAGGAGAAGATGGCCATGGTTTCTACGCTTGGCAAAGGGAGCTGTCAACTTAGGAAGACTGCTGCTCATCCCCTGCCTTGTTTTCCTCAGTTGCCTCTTACGACAACCACAAGATGATATAGCGTATTAGTTATTCTCACACCGCCACTAGACGGTAATGATACCAAAAATTTTTTTTAGTAATCTACATAAACTATTTTCCACGTATGGTGCAAAAATGTTTAAGATAGTTCTATATGCTGCGAACACCTCATAGTTATGCACTGGATTAGCACAACCAAATACTTGATATTGTTTTTAAATGGTTTGCAGCAACACTACTTGTGTACATTTTCAACCTCTTTTTACCGGTTCTTCTCTAAAAAGCTCTTGTTTTCCGAACTGGTGAACATTTTAACGTCGATTTTTGGACAAAGCTAAAGCATCTATACATAAAATTGAAGTCTCTGTCTGTAATATCAAAATAAATGCCTTTTATTGAGCTGAGGGGGATATTTAACCACTTTTTAAATTTTTGTCTGTCTGTATATCTGTCCGGGCTAATCCTTGGAATGGCAGAACCGATTGTAATGAAACTAAACGAAGAGATAGAGAACAATTCCAGGTGTGATTTGGGCTATAGGATCTAGGCAAATCCATCTTTATAATCATTAACTTGGAGATTTATTTTGAGAAATCGAAAATCTGATAAATCTAAATAACGCCGCATTACTAAATCCTACTTAGACGAAGCTAGGGCGGCTCGTTAGTTGAATAATAAATTTTGATTTTGATAGGCTAGAATTTCGGTAGAACGAATAAGAAACTGAACTAATGGAAAATCGTAAAACATCCACAAACGTTATAGTTAATGTTTTTGTACCAATATTACTTATTTCGAGTCGAATCTATGACCCAGAGGAATAAGTACTGACCATAAAATCACGTGGTTGTCAAACACATAGTGGTAAATAAAAATATTTATAGAAGTTAAGCTATCATAGAAGTTAAGCATTTCATGCATTTTTAGCAATTACATACAGTCGTCGATGCTGAGCTAAATGTGGCATCAGTACTCTTTGCTCGAACGGACTTGCAAAGAAGGGTAAGAATCTGTTACGGCGTAAATTATCGTCGCACCTTTGCAAGCACACCAAGTTTATTTACGGCTGCCTTGGCGATGCATAGAGTTCAACTCTATGCATCGCCCAAAGCTGAGTCTCGAAGAAATCTCAACCCCTAACTGCAAATATACATCCCGGAAAGTAAGAGCCCGGGTGAGCGGGCTTATTTTTGTTGTTATAAGGACGTTATTCGTAGGAATATTATCGATTTTCCACACTATAACAAGTTTCTACCGCTAAGCAAAAATCCACGGTATGATTATCTAATTTGAATAGTTAAAAGAAATGTTTGGTAAATAGGTAAGCGAGTTGAAAAGTGTTGTATCACACATTTAGCACCGTAGGCGTCATAACCTGTCACCGGTGAGGGTATTTTTATACTTATATGAGTAGATATCTGTGTGAAATATTCGACTCGTAAGGTGTCCTAATATAGTTGCCCTGTGCTGTAGTTGGTAATAAAAGGTGTTAGTTATATTGACATTACGCAAAAAATCAAAAATATGTTTCTTGAAGCTCCCCCTTAAGCCCCTACGATTAGTTATCGTTGTTTTGAATGTAACTTTCACCTTATAACGTATGTAACGGGTATTATTTATGCATTACACAAGAACAAATTCTTTACACGATATACATGATGTATGGTTTTTTTTACTAACGAACAACGTATAGGAGACAGTGTTATCACTTATCTGTAAAAGATTTTCCATCACGTATTTACACGTGACGACACATGGAAAAAGGTGTGATTCTATCTGATGAAAATGAAATATCCTACTTATGAGCCAATCTACGGGAGATAACTATACCTAGTCAGGTCATAAATTCTGTCACATGTTTAATATAAACTAATTGAAACAAGTTTATTCATCATGTAACCATTTATATACCAAAATGAACTTAACAAAACATAGATTCTTATGACACTAAAGTTTATTCAAAATGACCTCCGTGATTTTGAATACAGGCCTTCAATTTGCGCGGCCAGTCGTCTATCGCAGCACGAACGAGGTCCATGTCAATATCGGCGGCTGCCTTAATCAAGGATGTCTTGATTGACTCCAAATTGAGACTTTGAGCACGCCTTTTCCTCCAAGTGTTGCCATATCTTGTAATCTAACGGATTCAAATCTGGACTGGAGGAGGGCCAATCTTTGTGCCGGATGAAGTCGATTTCACGCGCCGCCAGCCAGTCTTGTGTGCTCATCGCTCTATGAGCTGGCGCCGAATCTTGTTGGAACACCCAGTGCCTGTTATTGAACATGGTATGAGAAACAGGTTCCACAAGGTTCGTCAGGACTGTATTTTGATACACAACTGCATTCGTTTTTACACCTTTCTCACAAAAATGTACCTCTTTTAAGCCCCAATAAGAAACTCCCAACCATACCATGAGCGAGGATGGGAAATGACCTCATTGGACACGCGAAATACGGTTGCTCGCTTCTTCACTACTGTGTGCGTACACCTTATCATTTTGTTTGTTGTAGCTCTCTTCTACGGTAAAAATTTTTCATCCGAAAAAAGAATTTCCCGATATTTTTTTCCCGCGTACCGCTTCAACAAAGCGCGGCATCTCTTCAGTCTCAGGTCCATTAGACGAGCATTCAAACGATGTCCTGTTTTTCTTCGAGATGCCCGAAGCCCTAAGTCTTCATTTAGCACCCTTTTCACCGTGGTTCTGCTTAACCCCATCTGAAGGGCCAACAGTTTCTGCTTACGTTTGGGATTTCTTTGAATTCGCGCCTTCACAGCTTTTATCACTGCTGGAGTCCTAACAGACCGAGGGCGACCACTTCTTGACCTGTCATCTACAGTAGAGTCTTCATTGTATCGTTTGATGGTACGATAAACGAATCTTTTGGTTATATTCAAATTTTTCAGTATGTCAAAAATTTAAATTGGCGCGTAACCGCAACGATGCAACGCAATAACTGCAACACGGGCTTCTTTAAGCGTCCACTCCATATTTAAAAATGAGTAAAATTCTAAAAAGTATACAGTTTTATTTTCATGAACAATTCGAAATTCGAATTCAATAAACGTTTTTGTGGCCAGCATTCTAAAAGAAAAGTTTTTACTGTGTGACAATACTTATGACCTGACTAGGTATTTAGCAATGGACTTTCATACGTTGTAATAATTGAATGAGAAGTGATTAATCCAATACACCCCACTAATTGCATTTGTGTTTTCGCGAATATTACAAGTTACTATCTTGTGTAGTTGACTGTATAGTCAGCATTGATTAGATGAACACTTACAATTTTATTATACTCTCAGATTTCTTGCATGCTACCATGGCTTAATCGTTCCATTATCCACCCAGAAACGAGAGAAGGCCTGTGCTCAACAGACGATGCCATTGATCGACGATCGATCGATTGGTGTGGCAACACCCTTAAACAGCTATGAATGTACCTATAGGTTATACTTTTATACATACATATATATATATATATACTAAATACTTAGTATCAATAGTATAAATGTATATTAATTACTAGCTTTTTACTGGCGGCTTCGCTTGCGTGGGCTTCAATCAACAACGCTTCGTGCCAATATTAGCAAATTGGACATGTGAAGTCATCTCGGTGTATGTGTTTCTATGTCTGTCTATCACAGGAATTTTCTCACAGACTATTTGATATTGATGCTTAACACTGCTGTGTTACACGTATGGTGAGTGTTTCCGGAGTGAGTCCGGAGACCCTTTTTATTGGAAAAGAGGCATTCCATCTTAGTCCTCACGGGTGACAACGCATCTGCATTTTGATTCGCAAACGAGGATAGATGTAGATGTCTATGGGCCACAGCAACTACTTACCATCTGGTGGACTGTGCTCGTTTGTCACCCTATCCTATAAAAAAAAGTATGTACTCTTATGAAGTGTAAATTGTCTTGGAATCAGAATTGGGTTATTTACTTTTTACTATTTTTTATTTAAAATTAAAATTTCCCTTCTAAAAGGATTTCTTTTAATTTACGCCATAATGTTTAATGGCGATCTTTGATTCATTATCACTGAATGTTGACTGGCACCATATAATCGATACTTATTGATATTTCTTTACATTTGAGTAGACTTCAAAATTTCATAAATGTAATTCTATTTACGAAGCACGTGAGAAGAACTACATTCATAACGATATAATATAACGTCAGTTATTAGAAATACATTCGCCGTATAGTGGCGTCGAAAGAAAACCTACTTACTCATATGCGTGATGCTGAGTTTGAAGTGATAGAGAAAAAATAAAATAGGAGATGGGCAGCAGCACTTCTCTGACAGCTCAAAATAATAAAAAGCTTGATTTACAATGCCGTAACTAAGCCGTAGTAATTGCAGTAGTTATTCATCTTCCTTACAAAATATGAATGAAGTAAAAACTGCAGAATAGCCCCATTAAAGTAAAAAGTAGTAGCCTACAAATATCTTACTACTGAGCACAGGCCGCAGAAGGTTTTCTGGCAGGAAAAAATTCGCCGCATTAATCCAACTCTGGATTACCGATTTGAAATTAAAAATATATATTTTAACTTTTCAAATGTGCCGAGAACGTGGTAAATCGACATTTTAAATTGATATCAAAAATTTGAGTGGTGTCGGCGAGAATCGATTTTGGGTTGCTTACATACTTCTTACGATTTACGTTTACGTTGATCGGTTCGATTACCGTATTTGACAAGTAACTCATAATTCTATCAATGCAGTTCTATTCAAAATAACCGTGATAAACCTGTGTTTAAGTAAAATTCAAACTTAATATTTATGGTACTTACTTTTCTCAAGTGCTTGTATATATTCATGTGAGTTATGAAACCGGGTCTGTCATAAAAATGTGTTTATGTGTCTGAATATGATAGCTATCTTAATAATTGACAAACTGTTTTATAGCTTCATTAAGAGTAAAAAAAGTTAATAGCACCAACATCCGTCCTACGACTACGAATGCACTGGGATCCTAATTACTAAAAGTAAAACACTTTTAGTTTGGGTCCAGAGTCCGCCAAAATGCTTCAATGCGTGTTTGTGATTTTCATATGTCCACGATTTTTTTCATTCTCTGACATCTGGAATTCGCCACGATGTTACACTGCCCCACTTCATCCTTACAACCCTTACAAATGTGTGCGTGCGTAGTAAAATAGGAGGCGTTAGATATTTATGAATGACAATCAGTTATAATAAGTGGTGGACCGCCAATCGTCCGTGATATTGAGCGACTGGAATTAGTCCAAACAATTGCTCAGAGCACTCTCCGTGGTACATGCGATGAAATACGCAAAGAGATGCAATATGTCTTCGCAGTGCCAGTGAGTCAAGCCGATTTTTGAATTTAAAAGATAAAGAGGACGGAATGTTTGAGACACTAGTACTACCCGGCTATCGTCTTTGCTTAAATAAAATTCATGAAAACTTAAAAGAAGCTTATGGAGGATTGTAGGCCACATTATACCAAATTAATAAAATTAGTCATCCAAAAATGCTGCAAACTATTCCTTCTAATAAAGATAAAGATCTCACAGTGCACTTTTTTTCAATTACTTACATCGGATAACTTATCTCCTGATTTACGGATAACAAAGCATTTGGTGAAATTGTTGCTATGCGAATAGACACTAAATACATTCAATGATAGAACTTTTATCTTAATCACAATTTTGTGTATATAATAATTTAGTTATTAATTTTACTAACGTGGCAATTGCGGTAAATCATCCCGATATTGCCTACCGGTCTGCATATTTTATGACTGAGAATTTTTGATGCTGCAGTAATATGTTATTTAGTATCAGTTTAATTCATTTAATCTTCATCGTTTAATTTTTCAGTAACTTACTTATTTTTGGTTTATTCAGTCAGCAGTAAGTAGACGGCACTATTTAAGCTATGAAAGCCAAAACTGTAAACGAAAATGTATAAAACCTCTTAGCCTATCGTAATATAATGTTTTGATTAATAAATGAATCATAAAAATGTATATCATTGTTGCTTGGAGTGCCGATATGTGAAAACTAGACAAATGATAACGATTTTAAACTTTAAAAAACTTTAAACTTTTTTTATAATATAGTTATTTGAAAATTAGAAATTAAAAAAATAACACTGTTATTTCATAGTTTTAAGATTTTACTTTTGCCTGCAGTCCCCTTGAATGTCAATTTTTAACTTTATTACAATTTCACTTATTGTCAATTAGCGATGAGGTCCCAAATTATTCAGAAACAGAAATTCTTGAGACCCATATTTACTCAGTACCCGAATATAATTTAACTAGGTTACTGTCGGCCATATAGTATGTGTACGTACCCCAATTAAGAGTACGTTCAGTAACAGTTAAGCTTAAAATTGTGGAATCGAAAATCCGTTTATCGCTACGTAACGATAAATGGATGAAGACAACGGTTGGAATACTATTATGTTAACAATATTACTATTATTTTCAGCCACCGTTAGATCCTATCAAAATCCACTGCTGAGCATAGGCCTGCCTCATAGATCGACTCATGGGGGGAGGGGGGGGGGGCAGTTACTATAGTTGCCACGCTTGGCAGGCGGGTTGGCAGCCGCATCATTATCATCATCATTACAGCCCTTCACAAGACCACCGCTGAGCATAGGCTTCTCCCAAGGAATGTCAAAAAACATGTTCCTGAGCCACCTGCATCTATCAACTTCCTGCATGTCCTACCAGATCGCCACTCCAACTAGTGGGGGAACGCCCTACACTTCGCCTGCCGGTACGAGGCTGCCACTCGACAACTTTTCTTCCCCAGTTTTTATTTGATAATATTGGCGAGTTACACTGCTCTTGGGACGACACCTTATCACGTTGGAATTTTAATAAAGCTGATTTTCCATGGTGCTGATTTTTTTAGAAAGCCGCATTAGACTGGACACCAATTTATGAGTTGAACTTGGACGTTAATTTATCTTTTTTCTATCATACTTTAAACTCGATTATAGATTGTTACGTGCCTCGGAAGAGCAGACGTTCCTTATACTCTTAGGTATGCCTACCCTGAGTGGAACAATAAAGAAATAATTCGAGCCATTAAACAAAAACCTAGTTTACACAAACGGTATAAGACAAGTAAATCAATAATCAATTACGATGCGTTTTCCAGGAGTAGGGCAAATGTTAAAAAAAATGGTCGAAAAACAATAGCAAGAGATAGTTCAAAACAACCTTTAAAAGGAACCAAAATAATTTTGGAATTACATTATGACCAAAAGGGATCAGAAATCCACAGAAAAT